CTAGTAGGACTCCCCCCCATGGCGCGCCCCTCCTGGCCGGCCGCCTCCTCCTCCCCTCCTTTATATACGGGGGCAGGGGGCACCCCGTCACACATCAATTGTTCTCTTAGCCGTGTGCGGTGCCCCCTCCATAGTTTACTCCTTCGGTCATAGCTTCGTAGTGCTTAGGCGAAGCCCTGCGCGGATCACATCACCATAACCGTCACCACGCCGTCATGCTAACGGAACTCTCCCTCGACCCTCTGCTGGATCAAGAGTACGAGGGATGTCATCGAGCTGAACGTGTGCTGAACTCGGAGGTGTCGTACGTTCGGTACTAGATCGTTTGGATCGTGAAGACATTCGACTACATCAACCGCGTTAACCTAACGCTTACGCTTTCTGTCTATGAGGGTACGTGGACACACTCTCCCCCTCTCGTTGCTATGCATCTCCTAGATAGATCTTGTGTGATCGTAGGAAAATTTTGAAATTGCATGCTACGTTACCCAACAGTGGCATCCGAGCCAGGTCTATGCGTAGATGATATGCACAAGTAGAACACAAAGAGTTGTGGGCGATAATAATCATACTGCTTACCACCAACGTCTTATTTTGATTTGGCAGTATTGTTGGATGAACCGGCCCGGACCAACCTTACAAGACCACGTTCATGAAACCGGTTCCACTGACAGACATGCAACTTGTTTTGCATAAAGGTGGCTGGAGGGTGTTTGTTTCTCCAACTTTAGTTGAATCAAATTTGACTGCGGACGGTTCTTGTTGAAGGTTAAAACAACACACTTGACAAAAAATCGTCATGGTTTTGATGCGTAGGTAAGAACGGTTCTTGCTAGAAGCCCATAGCAGCCATGTAAAACTTGCAACAACAAAGTAGAGGACGTCTAACTTGTGTTTGCAGGGCATATTGTGATGTGATATGGTCAAGACATGATGTGATATACATTGTTGTATGAGATGATCATGTTTTGTAAAATTTATCGGCAACTGGCAGGAGCCTTAAAGTTGTCGCTTTATTGTATGAAATGCAATCTCCATGTAATTGCTTTACTTTATCACTATGCTGTAGCGATAGTTGTAGAAGCAATAGTTGGTGAGATGACAACGACACTATGATGGAGATCAATGTGTCAAGCTGGTGATGATGGAGATCATGACGGTGCTTTGAAGATGGAGATCAAGGCACAAGATGATGATGGCCATATCATGTCACATATTTTGATTGCATGTGATATTTATCTTTTATGCATCTTATTTTGCTTAGTACGACGCTAGCATTATAAGATGATCCCTCTCTAAATTTCAAGGTATAAGTGTTCTCCCCGAGTATGCATCGTTGCTACAGTTCGTCGTGACGAGACACCACGTGATGATCGGGTGTGATAAGCTCTACGTTCACATACAATGGGTGTAAAACAGTTTTGCACGTGCAGAATACTCAGGTTAAACTTGACGACCTAGCATATGCAGATATGGCCTCGGAACACTGAGACCGAAAGGTCGAACGTGAATCATATAGTAGATATGATCAACATAGAGATGTTCACCATTGAAAACTACTCCATCTCACGTGATGATCAGACATGGTTTAGTTGATATGGATCACGTGATCATTTAGATGACTAGATGGATGTCTATCTAATTGAGAGTTCTTAAGTAATATGATTAATCGAACTTTAATTTATCATGAACTTAGTCCTGATAGTTTTTGCATATCTATGTTGTTGTAGATCAATGGCCCGTTCTACCGAATTTTAATGTGTTCCTAGAGAAAGCTAAGTTGAAAGATGATGGTAGCAACTACACGGACTGGGTCCGTATCTTGAGGATTATCCTCATTGTTGCACAGAAGAATTACGTCCTGGAAGCACTGCTAGCTGCAAGACCCGCTGCAGGAGCAACTCCGGACGTTATGAACGTCTGGCAGACTAAATCTGATGACTACTCGATAGTTCATTGTGCCATGCTTTACGTCTTAGAATCGGGAGTTCAAAGACGTTTTGAATGTCATGGAGCATATGAGATGTTCCAAGAGTTGAAATTAATATTTCAAGCAAATGCCCGAG